TAAGAGTCTCATGGACTTTCCTGCCCGGGCTGGCTTTGCACCTCGATCCTCAGAGCTCAGCCTCCTGAGTAGCTAGGATTACAGGTGTGAGCCACCAGAGCCTGGCTAAGCACTCTATCTCTTCCAAGTCCAGACTTTTGCTGGTTAATTGAAGATAAGAGTCCCTGCCAAGTGCCAGTGACTCATACTTATAATCCTAGTTACTCAGGAGGCTGAGATATAAAGATCATGGTACAAAGCTAGCCTGGGCAGCAAAGTACAAGAGACCCTCATCTCCAATTAACCAGCAAAAAGCTGAAGTAGAGCTGTTTGTTGCAAAAAGCAAAAACCAAAAAGCTCAGTGACTGCTCACAGGGAATGGGAGCTCAAGACCAACGCCCCCCCAAAAAACCTCTCAGATTTGTCTGCCTGAGCTGCCTCCAAACTGCGATTCTCAGATCTCAGAATCCTAAATAACTAGGATTATGAGTGTGAGTCACTGATGCCCCATTAGTTTCTTTAAAATGTTTGTTTACTATCCAGCAAGTTTTTCAAGCTCTTTCATTAGTTTTATTAACTCTGTCTATAGGGCCTTTTAAATTGTTTACATTTATATGTTTTTACTGTCTTTTTGGTTCTGGCTCTTTTGCTACTTATTTCAGATGATAAATTACTAGAGGATAGAGACCTTTTAAAATATGCTTTGTAAAATAAGTGGATATTAAATTGTGTATCCAACAATACAAAAAAGAGACTCTTGAATGATGTTGGAAGGAAAGAAAACAATCTTGTGCAATGTTAAAGGTGGTAAATGAAGTGTAGAGAGAATAAAAGGCTGAATTAGAGTACCAAGGGTGATATGTAGCAGGAATAATTATGTCTATATCATTAGTAGGCCAGTAAGAAAAAACTTTACAGTTCAAATTGAGAATTTCTATTTTATTTAGAAGATAGGTGATAGAACTGTGCTATTAGGACAATTATATTTTTAAATCTAAAGGTCAATGCAATTATTTAGAATATGTATTTTTGATGGGCTTAAGGACTTGACAAGGGACCTAAAAATCTAGGGCAGAAAATTTCATAATGAGAAGAAATGATCAGATAAAGGTTGGAGAGGAGCTAATAGAGTGTTATTTGCTTAGAAGGAATTAATGAATTAAGTAATTCAACTCTCTTTTCCCCCTGATATCTTTTTTGTATCTCAAAATTAGATTAGGACTCATTGTTCAGTGATATAAAGGCAGAAGGTAATACTATATTGTTAATCAGGTGAAGAGAGAAAAATATTTGGAAAACTGAATCTATATTTTGTATCTTTGAACGCATGAGAAATAATGAATGAACTATGTTAATTATTACTGAGACATCTTAGAATTAGAGAAAGATGAATAAGGGAGGAGTTGAAAGGCAAATGTTTTTAAAACTAGGCCAAATATCACTTAGTTATTTCTTCTCTATTATAATTGAGTAAAATACAAAAATACATAATCTTAGCCCTGATTTTTTGTTGTTGTTGGTCGTGGGGCTTGAACTCTGGGCTTGGGCGCTGTCTCTCAGCTATTCAGCTCAAGGCAAGCACTCTAACATTTGAGCCACAGCACCACTTCCAGTTTTCTAGTGGTTTTATTGGAGATAAGAGTCTTACGAACTTTCCTGACCTGGCTGGCTTTGAACCGCCAGCCTCAGATCTCAGCCTCCTGAGTAGCTAGGATTACAGGCGTGAGCCACCAGCGCCCGGCCCTATAAATGTTTTAAAGATAAAATCAGAAAGAGAATAACTCAAATGTGAGGCTGAAGAAAAAAATAGGTTTTTTTCTTTGAATTTTGAAAACATAACTTACATAATAAGTTGTAGAAAATGATATTATTTAACTACTATCAGTAAAAGGCATATTCTGGACATGGTATTATGTGACTGTAATCTGAGCACTTGAGAGGCAGAAGCAAGAGGAGCAAGAGCTGACATGAGACCCTATCTCAAAAACCAGTAAACAAAACTATAGGCCTGAAAAGTAGGTGATTAAGCTCTTTTAACCAATAATAGCAACTGAGGTTTTTCTGTGTGTGTGTGTGTGTGTGTGTGTGTGTGTGTGTGTGTGTGCGCGCGCGCGTGCACCAGTCCTGGAGCTTGAACTCTGGGCCTGGGCACCATCCCTGAGCTTTGTTGTTCAAGGCTAGTGCTATACCACTTGAACCATCACTTCATTTCTGGCTTTTTGGTGATTAATTGGAGTTGAGTCCCATGGACTTTCCTTCCCAGCTTGGCTTTGAACCTCAATCCTCAGATCCCAGTCTTTTGAGTAGCTAGGATTACAGGCATGAGCCACCAGCACCAGACACAATTAAGTTTATTTATTACTTACATAGTCTCATTTTGTCCTTGTAAAGTAGGAATAGGTTGGAGTTATCATTTCTGAGCCAGTGACAGGAGGTTACTGGAGCTCTCATTTTGTATTACAGTGGATTTGTAGATCTACCTTTTTTGGAATGTTTTTGTTACTGTGTTTTTGCTGACAAAATCAGGTCACTTTCGTTTTCCCTCTCTCCCTCCCTGTTACCCTCACTCCTTCCTTTCCCTCCCTTCTTCTGTCCCTTCTTTCCTTCCTTTTTGGATGTGCTAGAGATTGAATTCAGGGCCTTTCTTGTGCTAGGGAAGCACTCTACCATTGACTCATACCTGCTTCCAGTCCAGCATATTTCTTTAAACATATTTTTATGAATCTTCTTCATAGCTCCTTTGAAATGTTCCACAAGGTCAGGGATTTTGTCAATTTGTTCACTGACGTATCTCTAGTTCCTAGAATAATGCTCAGTAGACAGTAGATGCTTAGTCAGTAGTTACCCTGAATATATAAATGAGTGAGTCAGTGGTGCAGTATTGGTAGTAAAAACATTTTGGCCATTGTATTAAAAATGCTGCAAGTCTCCTGAAGGATCTTTTAGTCTTTTAATAGCTTCATTATAAGTTTGCTATTATTTTGAATTCTTTTCTCCCCAGGAAGTAGAACTTAATATTAGTACATTTGAGGGTAAAGGGAGGGCAGAGACAAAGACTGAGGAAATTGAATAAAGGCTTAGTACACTTAAATGTTCTTCTAAAATTTTATTTTCCTTTGCCCGTGTGTAAGTTCTGTTGCAGGCCTCTCTGTATCAACTAAATGTGAGCGAAATTATTCTAGTAGAGTTACATAATTGAGGTGGCCATGTGTGAACCTCTGGGGTCTGGGGCATGTAATGAGTTAAACTGTTTTTTGTTGAAGTGTCAAGAATACCAATGGATTCTTGCCAGGCATACATTAAGAAGAGTATTCTTTGTTTTAGATTCAAATATACAGTAGGTCTGATGGGCTCAGGAAAGCATATAGAATTTCTACTTTTTGAATATACTGTACTAAACTTTGGAAGAAAAACAGGTCTTTGCATGTTACTTATGAATAAACGGTTTCAGATCTTAGATTCTTAATTGAGGATCTGCTTCTATAGTCTTGCTCAGGTTAAGACTTATAAAGGACTCCTTCCTTCATATGGATAGAGTCAAATTCTGGGTAGGTGATTTAAATACCAATGAGATCTTTAGATAAATTATTAGAATTAAGAAATCATTTTTATGTCATTTTTTTTGTTGTTGTTGTTAGTTGTGGGGCTTGAGCTCTGGGCTTGGGCGCTGTCCCTTAGCTCTTCAGCTCAAGGAAAGTGCTCTACCGCTTGAGCCACAGCACCACTTCTGGTTTTCTAGTGGTTTTATTGGAGATAGGAGTCTCATGGAGTTTCCTGCCTGGGCTGGCTTTGAACCGTGATCCTCACATCTCAGCCTCCTGAGTGGCTAGGATTACAGGCGTGAGCCACCGGCGCCCGGCACTATGTCATTATTTTGAGAGGTGAAATTCTGTAGAACATGGCACCAATGCAGGAACTGGGATGCTGATTAACTCTTAAGAATTTTTTCCTATAGGATAATTCACATACTTATTGCTGCTTTCATTCCAATGGGAATTCATATAAAGGGGATGTTTGTTGCTACTACACAGGGTCTATTAAAATAATTATTTCTAAATAAGCCCTATGCTTGGAAAATTCTTTGGATCTGCTTCAGAATTTGGAAGTTTTAAATTTTGTCTTAATTTTTATTTATTTTATTTTTTTGGTGCTGATCCTACGGCTTCAACTCAGGGCCTGGGCACCATCATTGAGCTTCTTTTGCTCAAGGCTAGTAGTGCTCTAACACTTGAGCCACAGCTCCACTTCCAGCTTTTTGTTAGGTTATTGGAGATGAGTCTCATGGCCTTTCCTGCCTAGGCTGGCTTTGAACTGTGATCCTCAGATTGGAGCCTCCTGAAGTAGCTAGGATTATAAGTGTGAGCCATTGATACCCATTCATTTGAATTTTTTTAAAAAGTCACACTTTTCTCCCTTCAATGGTAATTTTTTAGATCTTTGAGTAAACTTCCTACTTTAGTGTACCTGCATTCTGAAGCACTATAGTAGTGTATTATTTTGCTAGGTTGTAATTGGGTTTCTCATTTGCTTTACACAGGACCTTCCAAATTCTGTTCATAATATATTGTGATGTTTGCCATACATAACTAGGGTCTCAACTTTAGTGTCCTGTAGTTCTTCTTTAATCAAATTGAGAAGCTTTGGTAAGGATGGCTATTTTGATGTGCAGAAACATTTAGGTATGTTTTATTTTATTTTTTGTTTTTTGTTGATTGTGGGGCTTGAACTCTGGGCCTGAGTGCTATCCTTTAGCTCTTCAGCTCAAGGCTAGCGCTCTCCACTTGAGCTACAGCGCCACTTCTGGTTTTCTGGTGGTTTTTATTGGAGATAAGAGTTTCACGACTTTCCTGCCCGGGCTGGCTTTGAACTGCGATCTTCAGATCTCAGTCTCCTGAGTGGCTACGATTATAGGAGTAAGCCACCAGTGCCCAGCTAGGTATGTTTTAAAGACTGAACAACTGTTGATATTTTTACCTCTAAGGAAATAATGACTCAGACACATTTCTTTCTTTTTATTACAGATCGGCTATCTTCATGTGCTCTGTTACAAGTTTGGAGTTCAAACCCACAAGCAGAATAAATATAATGAGAGTACATTCTGGTTGAGGTAATGTAAACAAAAATGAATGTAAATTCAGGAATATTATCATAAAGATTAGTTAATCCTTACTATAGGGTACTTTGGCATAGTAAACATTTGCTGACTTCCAAAGCCAATATATCAAATTTATTTGTTAGTTTAATATATTCTGCCTATTATTATTGTTATTGTTAATATTGCTATTATTTTCTTGGTAGTGGGACTTGAGATCAGAGGCCTTATGCTCTCTGCTGCAGCTGGTAAACTACCACTTGAGCTATGCTCCTAATCCCAGATTTTTTGTTGGCTGATTGGAGATGGAGTCTATTGGACTTTTCTTTTAGGGCTGGCTTCAAACCATGGTCCTCTGAATCTAAGCCCCTGAGTAGCTTGAATTACAGGATTAACCACTGGTGCCTGGCTTTTTTTTTTTTTATTATTCTTTCATGCTGCTAGTTGATAGAAAAATGTATTAACCTCTTAATATATCATAAAAGAATTACTTCTCTATTACTCTTTGTATCTTCATATGTGTGTGGAATGTTGTTGTTTTGGAACTTATTGCTGTCTAATGACTCCAGAATATAAGGTGTCAGAAGGGGTAGGTAGGAGTAGGATCAGCTTGAATTATTAGCCTTTGGATGAATTTGGGTATTTTAGTATCAGTCAAGTAAGTATGTATTCATCACTTACTGTATGCTGAGTACTAGATCAGAGTTTATTCTATTGTGCGGAATCTATAACCATTAAAATAAAATACCTAGGAATAAACCTAACCAAGGAAGTTAAGGAGGAAGAAATTGAAGAAGACTGCAGAAGGTAGAAAGATCTCCCATGTTTATAGATTGGCAGAATTAGAGTTATAGAAATGGCCATACTGGCAAAGGCATTCTATAAATTGGTCAAACTCCTTATGTCATTTTTCACAGAGATAGAAAAAACAGTCCAATAATTCTATGGAAACACAAAGGGTCCCAAATAACCAAAGCAATTCTGGTCCTAAAAAGCAATGCTGGAATCATTAGAGTTCCAGACTTCAGACTTTACTACAGGGGCACAGAGCTTGAAACAGATCAGAAAACCAATCTACTAGAAGACTCAGAAATAAATCCTATCTGATATTTAACAAGAGTCAAAATGTATGCTGGGAAAAAGAAAATCTCTTCAAATGTTGTTAGGAAAACTGTACATCCATTCAGAAGACTGCAACTGGACCTCTGTTTGTCATCTTGTACTAATGTCAATTCAAAATGGATCAGAGATCTCACTGTAAGACCCCAAACCTTGAAACTACTGCAGGAAGGAATGAAGGATAAACTAGAACTTACTGGCATATACAGGATCTTCTTGAGTAGAATTCCAGAGGCTGAGTAAATTGGAGAGAGAAGTGACAAATGGGAATGCATCAGCTAGAAAGGTGCTACACAGCAAAGAATATAGCTAAACAAACAAACATAAAAACCACACAAAAAACCCAGCTTATACAATGAGAGATCTTTGCCAGCTATTTGTCTGACGAGGGCCTAACAGAACATACAAGGAGCTCAAAAAACTTGAACCCTTAAAGAATCAATAACCCAATTAATAAATGAGCCAAGGAGCTAAAAAGAGACCTCTCAGTAGTTAAGAATGACCAATATACACACGAAGAAATGTTCAGTGTCTCTGGCTATAAAGGAAATGCAAATCAAAACAGCATTGAGATTCCACCTCACTCCAGTCAGAATTTCTGTCATCAAGAATGTGAATAACAATATGCTGGTGAGGTTGTGGGGATAAGGGGAACAGTTTTTACAGCAGGGATCAAGTTTCATTCTTATGGATACGCAATTCTCCAAGTATTATTTATTGGAAATATTATCCTTCAATACATGTTTTTATCATCTTGTTTTGAAAATTTAATGTCTGTACATGCTTGGATTTACTTCCAGGTACTTTATTCTGTTCTATGTGACTGGCAATGTCTCTGCAGAGATATTTCTCAGTGTGGGGGATTTTTGTCTGTTCTATGTTTGTTTTTATGCTTATAATATGCTATTTTGGCACTACAGCTTGTGTTATATTTTAAAGTTAGTATAGTGCCTCTTTGTTCTTTTTGCTTTAAGATTGCTTTGGCTATGGAGATTTTATTATAGCTCCATATGACAGATTACATTAGACATGTAGATCATTTGAGTAGTATTGTAATAGTGATTCTTATTCCATAGGTTTCTGAGTTTTTTCATCAATACATTACAGTTTTCTTTATAAAGATCTTTTACCTTTTTGGTTAAATTTATTCCTAGGTGGTGGTGGTGGTGGTGGTGGTGGTGGTGGTGGTGGTGGTGGTGGTGGTGGTGGTGTGTGTGTGTGTGTGTGTGTGTGTGCCTGTGTCTGTCCTGGAGCTTGAACTCAGGGCTTGAACACTGAACCTGAGCTCTATTTTGCTCAAGGTTAATTGGAGATAAGAATCCTGTGGACTTTCCTGCCCCAGCTGGCTTTGAAATGCAATCTTCAGATTGCAACTTCTTGAATAGTTAGGATTACAGGTGTAAAAAACCAGTTTCTGGCTCACATACAGAATAAAAAATATATAATTTTATTATTATGAAAGTATTGTGCAAAGGGATTAAGATTTCAGAAGTGAGGTAATGCGTACATTTCTTTTTTAGACAATGTCACCCCTTCCTTCGCTTTCCTCTACTGCACACTGATTTTAATAAATAAAATTTAATGACTTTATTTAGTTTACATTAGATATTTACACATTCTTGAAGAGGAGAGTCCTTTGCTTTGCAGGGTAATAACAGTGATAAAATATTTTTCAGCCCTTTGTGTGGGAGCGCAATGCTTTCTTTTCCAGAGCATGGTTTCTTATGCTTTCTTTCACAGTTACAAATTTACATTGTTTTATATTTTAAAACAAAAATCATTTTTGCTGGGTATTTTTGGATGAGAGTCAGTGGCTGGATGAACAGTATGACAGAGGAGAACTAAGTTTTAAAATTCTTTTTCAACACCATTTTTTGAGGGGGTGCACTACTGGGATTTGAACTTATCCTGTGCTTGCTGAACAACTGCTTGAGCACTTGAGTCACACTTGAAACCCTTACAACACATGTTTTTTTTAAGTTTTAATTTTTTATTGTTACTATAAAATGATATACAGACTGAACACATAATTCAGGTAAAGAGTACCTTCCTTTTTTGAACAATGTCACCCCTTCCCTGGCTCTCTCCCAGTTTTTCTCTCCTGTCCCAACATAATTTTTAATTCTCTGAATACTAATGTGAAACCTGTCTCAGTAGCTAACTTGAGTTAGTCCTTGTTGGTCACAAATAATTATTTAGAATGTAGTATCCCTGTTTGTATAAAGCCTTTTGAATGTCTCATAAAAATCAAAAGAACAAATTTCGTTTTTATTTTTGTCAGTGGTGGGGCCTGAACTCAGCCTGGGTGCTGTCCCTCAGCTCTTCACCTCAAGGCTAGTGCTCTACCATTTGAGCCACTGCGCCACTTCCGGCCTTTTCTATTTATGTGATACTGAGGAATTGAACCCAGGGCCTCATGCATGCAAGGCAAGCACTCTACCACTGAGCCACCTTCCCAGCTCCAAACAGTAAATTTCATAGTTGTTAGGTTTAATGAACCTGGATTTTGCAATTTGTATGATATATTTAAAAGTGCTATTATTTACCATATGTACAGTAAGCATGGGATAGTTTTATTATTTCTCAGTTTTCAGTAATGTTATATATGGATATCACTAAAGATCTTATAATAAGAAATAAAGAAAATAGAAATGTTAATGGTTCATTATTAATGGTCGATTAAAATGAGCTCAATGAAAATTGGTATAAGTTTTAGGTACTATTTAATATTAAGTTTTTTTATTTTCCTTCTACAGTTAGCCTCAGATCTTGAGGATTTGATATTACTGTATATAACTATGCATTATAATCTAGAGAAAAATCTCAGAGTGGACAACATCTTATCTAGTTAATTGTGAATTTTTCCTCCTTTTTTTTGGTGTATGTTTGTGTGGGGGTGTGGGAACTAGGCTTGAACTCAAGGCCTGCGTGCTGTACCTTAGCTTTTTCTCTCAAGGCTGATGATGCTCTACCACTTGAGCCATAGCTCCAATTTTAAGTTCATTACTATATACCACAAAGTCTTTGCCTGAAAAACAAGCACACTATTACTTGTGTCACAAACTTGTAGTGAGGAAAACGTAAGTGGCACAACAGTAATTTGAAAAGTTAAAGATATTATACTATGACATGCTACTACGATAAATTACTAATTCTAAAACTGAGCATGTACAAAACTATTTCAAATGTAAAATGGAATGTATTAGCACCATCTGGTGGAAATATAAGGAATTGAGTACTAGCAATTTCTAATTTAATGCAGTTAATGATTTAGGGCTGGGAGACATATTACAGATCATCTAGTTCCAGAATTTAGAAACCATTTCTGTGATTCTTTTGAATTCTACTAGGATAGCATCAATATCTTCTTAAAGAGGAAGAGAAAATTTTTACATAATTCTCTGAGATTAATTCTAAATGCAGAAATTAAGCTTTAAATAATTTTTTTGCTTAATATTTTCTTGTAAGATTTTGTTTGAAAAAAATTTATGTTTAGAAAAGGCTTGAATAAGACAGATTTAGATCAATTTCAACTCTGTACAGATAAAGAAATAGAAATATAGTGAGAGTAAGAGATTTAAGAGAACATAGCCGAGGCATTAGATTTGTAGTCATTTAGGAACAATCTTCCTCTAAGGGTCAGTAGGGACCCTTTCATTTTTGATTTTAACAATTTAAATCCTATTTCTAGTTTTTTTAGTCATGTATCTAAAAGTTTGTTAATTTTGATCTTTTGAAAATACCAACCTTTGTTTGTTGATTTTTTTCTATTGCTTTTCATTTATCTATTTCATTTCCACTCTAGTCTTTGTGATTTTTCTTCTTTGCTTATTTCACATTTAACTTGTTCCTCTGTTTTAAAGTCTTTGAATAGTGATTTGATATCATTTTTCTTT